TAGATAGATAGATAGATAGATAGATAGATAGATAGATAGATGATATATTATAGATGATAGATAGATAGATAGATAGATAGATAGATAGATAGATAGATAGATAGATAGATAGATAGATAGATAGACATCTATGATAGACGATAGATAGATAGATGAGAGATGATAGACGATAGATAGATGGATGGGTGGGTGGATGGATAGATAGAAAGATAGATAAATTGTTTGTCCATGTCACCCAAAGCAACTGTGCCCCTAATTCCAAGAATCCCAGGAGAGCATTAAAAAAAAAGAATTCCATGCTGGAAATTGGGAGATGCCATCCCAATAATTGAAGAGGTCTGAATCAAGAGAGCAGAAAGGAAAACAGTGGGGAACATATGCAGCACCAAGGAAGTTATGACAGTATTTTGAAATGAACCAATGAGGAGTAACTTGATCCATACACAACCCCACAGAGGTAAGACTCTTCTAAACTCCGTCTACATCTCTCCATCGTCACATGCTCATCACCCTGCACTAATAGAAGAATTTCCAGTTGCTGGAAGAGTCCCGACCAGACTCTTCTGCACTGATTAAGCACCACCTTAACTATGATATAGAATTCTGGATGTTAAAAAAAATCTCAAAGAAAAGGGAAGTAATGCAGAGGAAAAGCAACAAGGATAATCAAAGTAAGTAAGTCAATGAAAATCAGGAAAGATCAGGATTACTCCTCACTCCTCCCCCCGCACTCCCAGTTAAAACAGAAAATCTATGGCAGAAGATCTTCAAAGTATCATTTTCATAGGAGGAATCTGACTCTTAACTATGCTTCAAACCAATTTTTTTTTTGTTAATGGTGGTTTACTGTTTCCTTTGAATCTCCACCGTTCTATCTCCAGAAACCACTCCTTCACAAAGACAATAGAAACTTAGCAGGGAGAAAACAAGGACAAGTTTATGGTCTCCCTGCTGTAGATACATATATTGAAGCAGCAACCAAAACAGGTTGTCTTAACTAAGATTGCTACAAGCTACGATTACAAGATAGGATCCCAAACCAGAAGAAACAAAAGATCTTTAAGAAAATCCAAAGAAACTACACAATCTTGAACCCTTGAACATGACTTAAAGGTCTTCATGAACCAGAAAGTTGAGCTGGAAGAGAGTAACTTATAGAGAAACCCTAACCATATCAAGCAGTCCATCTAAATCAGACCTAAGCAGACAGTGTCAAATCATTGTCAAAAACTCACAAAATAAAATGCTACAGACTAAGTATGAAAGTTAACAATGACAATTAAGCCCAAGGAAGCGAGGCTGAGGACTTCTTACCAATCATATGATTTGCAACGTGGATCTGTATTTCTCTTTCATTTTCAAAGGTCATCTGGCACTTGATACACTGGTAAGTCTTCTTCTGTTTCAGAAAGAAAGAAGAAAAATGTATAAGGCAAATCATCTGTATTGCTATGCTAGAATTCTTGGTGTTGTAATATTAACACAGAACTGTTTTATGGCTTTCTGAAATGGTTTATATCATGGTCTTATTTTAATCTGTATCCTCCTCTTTGGAATTTCAGTTACTATAAAAAGTAGATAACAAGTTCTATACATAAATACTGTCCATGTTTGAACATCTCCATAAACTTTTCAAATTCCTTCAGCAGTACTACTCTTTACAAAAAGAAGTACTGTATACACCAAACTATCAGGACTTTAAGAATGAAGAAGTCTGTTATGTTGGATGGATTCAGAGGTTGCGCCATTCAAAAATCAGAGGACCAAGTTAGAGATAGATCAATTATGGAAAAAAAACACATCTATATGGTAAGTAGATATTATCACCACTAGTTATTGAGCGCAGGAATAACAGAATAAGAGATTTGTAAGGGACCTTGGAGGTCTTCTAGTCCAACATACACATACACACACCCAATAAACAGGGAAACATGTTTGGTCTTTAAATAAGAGAATGTGATTGCAGAAAAATATGTTCAAGAAATTAGACAATATCGACAAAATAGCTCGCACGCATTCCCTTGGAAGTAAAAATATGAATTGTAGAAAATCCCAGCAATCTATACTGAAACATGACTTGGGATTTTTTTTCCTCTCTTTATTCTTTTTCCCTTTTTCTCGTTTATTTCCTGTGCCAGGCTATATAGAAGCTTAGCTGGAGAGCAAGGAAGAAGCAATGACACTTGCTTGTTTTATTCAATCTGACAAGAGGTTTGTATTTAAAAATGGCGAGGTTGTACCTTCTTAGCTATGACAACAAGGACAAAATGTCTAGGAATGATTAGCATCAATATTAAAATTTAAAGCAATCACGTCAGAAGGTGAAGTCCATTAGAAGCTTGGGAGCTAAAATTTCCTTCTATTTTTATTCCTTGCAGAACAAGTCACTTCACATTACCAAACCAAGCAGCAAAAAATCTCGCTGCTTGGAAGCAATGTCACGAAAAATAGCTTAATGTCCAGGGTAGGAATTCAGAAAGAGAGAGAGAGAGAGAGAGAGAGAGAGAGAGAGAGAGAGAGAGAGAGAGAGAAGAAGAAGAAGAAGAAGAAGAAGAAGAAGAAGAAGAAGAAGAAGAAGAAGAAGAAGAAGAAGAAGAAGAAGAAGAAGAAGAAGAGGAGGAGGAGGAGGAGGAGGAGGAGGAGGAGGAGGAGGAGGAGGAGGAGGAGGAGGAGGAAGGAAGGAAGGAAGGAAGGAAGGAAGGAAGGAAGGAAGAGAAGGGAAGGAAGGAAGGAAGGAAGGAGGAAGGAAGGAAAGACGTACTCCTTTTCCGGTTGTGCTATCATGTCATTAAAAGAGAATTACCAAATCAAACAAAATTATCTTATCTATAATTGTTTCTCAAATGCTTCTTTATCATGATACTTTCCCCCTCAGTGTTTACTCTTAAGTTATTTTGAAAATGTTCTAAGTCTCAGTTGCTAAGTTTCCCAGATGCCCTGAATAGTCCTGTGGTACTAAAATCCAGTGAACTTCCCCTATTTCATGTCTACTTTTCTTTCCCTTCTGAGTCGAGATACCAAGACAGGCTTGTATTTAATCGAAACATGCACTCCTACAGTTTTTCATGTAATCTCAACATAGCTTTTCTCTGACTGTATCTTATTTTTCCCTAATCCTCCACTGTTAGGCTCTGTGTAAGAGGGAGGGAAAAATCAATCGTGATCCAGGAAACAAAGAAGAAGAGGAAGAACTGGTCAAGAATTATAGAGTAGTAACGTCACTTGGACAGCTCAGTTAGTATTTCACATACAAGGCTGGCTGCATAAAAGCTACATTTTACCTGTTGTACTACAAGTCAACAAGAGATTAGAAAACAGAGAACAGTGTGTTGTTCAATTTAGTTTCCCTAGCTATCTTTGATGTAGCTCTTTAACAAGCTACTGAAATTTACTGTTCTCTGAAAAATGCTATGAGCGCTCAGGGACCCCTACCTATAATTCTGAAATCTGCTAAAATATTTGAGTTGACTTTCAAGCAGTCTTATTCAAAAATATACACTGTACCGGTGCTTCGCTACTAAACTATGTGATCGGGCTTAGTTTTGGGGGAGGAAAATAAGGGGGGGTGGAAATTCTGCCTCTGCCTACCAGCATCTATCGGTATTCATCTGGCAATCGTCCTGTCAGTGTGTGAGAAAGTTGAGGGCTGTTTGGAAACTGAAACATGGAAACTGAAACAGTATTTGCTGTGTGAGCAAGGAGACAGCAAGGAGCCTGGATGTGGCTTAGCTCAATTATTCTGTACTAAAGCTGGTTGCTGCTGTGAAAGCAAAACTGAAACTGAAATTCCTCTCCTCTGCTTGTGTTTTGCATTTGATTTGTTTTCAAGTGGGGAGAGAGAGTAGAACTCCTTAGCATCAGAACGTAATAATAATAATAATAATAATAATAATAATAATAATAATAATAATA